TTACATCGACTTCAAATTAACTTGCTGGATATCAAGAAGACTTTAAACTAGAAAGAAGATTCTATGTTGTTTGTAAGTTAGTGAAATTGTTGTTTATAAAACTTTGTTTTTGGTAACTATTTGTAATAATTGTTGTTGTAAATTGTACTGTTGTATATATATATTAACTATTGTAAAGGCAAAACACAATCCAAACTAGATTTGTTAATAAGACAAAAACATGAAAGGTAATTGCAGTATCAACTCCTGTGGAGCCAAAACGCAACTGTAATTATATTTGTTAATAAAGTAAAAACACAAACAGTAATTAAAGTATCAGCTCTTGTGGATCTAAAACAACCCTGAATAGTCTTGTTAATAAAACATCAAAATAAAACCATGTTTTCAAAATTGAAAACCATATCCTCAACATTTATAATCATGGAAGATCTCAACAGGCCAAAAAGCAATGTCTTCTAACATTGTATCAAATCTGTATCCAAATCAAATTAATAAAAAAATTATCCTTTTCAAACATACTCCAACACTTCATGTGAAGCCACATGTTTTTTTAGGTTATTTCTGCCTCATTAATTACTGGTTTAGGCCATCTAGTGGTTGTAATTCTTTTATATTGATATCTCCAAATATTACACATTCCTTCATAAAATTTAAAATATTTAGAGTGAACATATCATTGTATCAAAACATTTTTTTCAGTTCTGTTTACATTATTTTCTAGTGCACCAATACCTAGATAAAATCAAGGAGGATTTCTCACACATTCAGATAAAAAACGACTTACTTATGAGGATCTTGATAAAGCTTTTGATCCTTAATGTACTGAATTACAGCATCTTGTAAAAGATATCTGACACTTTCTCCTCTCCTTAGAGCTCGCCTACAATAGAAACAAGGAAACATTTACAACCAGCCTTTTAAATACCTGTGTATGGAAGCATATTATCCTACTGTATCCTAGGATTTTGCACTTGGACCTGTCAAATATGATTTAATCAACTAGGTATGATTTGGTATGTATCAAGAAGTTTTTGTTT